GGGGGGGGGGGGGGGGGACGAGTGGGAAACGTTTCTGAAATCTATTTACAAAACAACGTGTTAACAAACAACAAGTAACAAATAAAGAAGAGAAAAGAAAAAACAAAAAAAAAAGAACGGAAGACTACAACACGTCGCTGATCTGTCGATCGCAAATCATTTTCTCGATCTCGATTTGTTTCTGCTTCACGCTTTTCTCCCGTGATGAATAATGAAGAAAAGAATAAAACGAATCAGTTTTGTTTTTTCCTGGTCAATCTGGTTGGTACGAGTTAACGAAAGGAAACACGATCCACTTGTACATATATATTATTGCATTTTCATTGCAATAAAAAGCTCGTGGTTGCTGATACAGCAAAATTAATTGAACGAGATCGCAACACAACTTTCCACGTACGATTTCTCACGCGCGATATTTCTTTGACAGCGAGCTTCCGTTCCCTACGGCTTCACATCTGTCTTCCCAAAAGCACGCAGCCACGAACAATTCGTATTAATTAAAAAGGCTCGCTTTCCTGAAGGTTCGTTCGACGATCAACAATAACGTCTCTTTAATTCAACGCGTTAACATTTAATATTGTCTTTAAATCACATCGAGATTGGGTAACTATCGTAAAACACGTCAATCTTCGTCGTTCGATCCGACAACATCGACTTATAAAAGACACGGCTTGGAACAACAAGTTTGCACAGAGACAACATGGCTTGGAATAAAACACACACATTGACTTTACGAAAAAATATATATATATATATATATACACATAGCCGTATACGTGTGCCTCTCTTATCTGTAAATCCTCTAATTTAGCTCGTTCGTTTCGTGATTTCGATTTTTCTTTTTTTCTCTCTCTCTCTCTCTCTCGAAGGATTCGTTGGAATTAATTGACAAACGGTCCCCGGAAGAATTCTCTTCGTCTGGTTAATTCGTCTTTGCAAGCGAAGAAAGTGTACAGTCGTTTTTTTTTTATTCTTCTTTTTTTTTTTCAAACGTGAAAAGTGTCTAAGAACAGCAAGGTGAAAGTAAACGGTGTGCAATTTTCCTTCTTTCGATTATTTCCTTTGTGCAGCGTAGAACGTTATAAAAATATAGAAACAAACTATCTGTCTATCGATCTCGAATCCTTGGCTTCTCTTATTGATAGATTTTTATTGTCAACAGTGTTATTCGTTTCTACACGACTGGCCCCGCGACTTTAGGACACACGATAATATCCTATCGTTAAATCTATTAAATCTAACACTCGTTTTTTTTCCTTTTTTCCCCTTTTTTTTTTTCTTTCTTTGTACGTGTAGCTAACGATTATTGTCATCTGTACTGTCACGGGTAATATTTGGAACGAAAGGAACGCCTTATACTAAATAACGTAGCCTTAAAATAGAATTTCAAAAGTCCTAAGGACGTTTCAACGATCCCTAAACCAGTTTCAGCTAGGACATAAATCGATTTTCAGGTATCTGTTAGCTCGTCTAAATCGATCTTCGCGCGGTAATTAATTTTTCCTCGATGGGTTCGAGTTTAATCGGAACTGGGGGGGAGGGGGGGGGGCGATCAACTCGCAAATCGAATTTCCGTGCTGGTGGAGAGATTTGCACCTTCCCATATTTCGCGTCATCGATTCTGGGTCATTCTTATTAAACCGGAGATGCGCCGTAAAACCAGCCGATCCTATTAAAATGATCTTCCCCGTCGTTTCATCTTTCACCCGAGCTTCCGATTACTTACAGAACCCAATTGAATTGAACCGAGATGACGCGTTTGTAGAATCATAAAGCTCGTTCATTCCATGAATTTGATATGCCGATCGAACTATATATATATATATATCATTTTGGGAATTCAAATAATTTTGAAATAATCTTGTATAATTCTACGAACAAATTGTATCGAGGAAATATAATTTCGCACGCCACAAAGATCAAGATTTAGAGGTCTATTCTACGTATCCGATGAAAACATTTACACGAGTAACAAGAATAAATAGATTTTTTTTTTATCCGTCATTCGGATGCACAGTATCTCAGTAATATTCCTGGAAGGATTTAAGCGCTACAAGTATCGTTATCATCAATACTATTTTTTCTATTCTCCTTCCTGATCTTCGCGAGAAACTTATCGCTATTTCATCGAGTGCTGGCTCTCACTTGGAGACGTCAATCGTAAAAACGCTAAATTCTTTTGTCTTAATCTCGCATCGTTTCGCAGTTTCGCACACTGTCTGCCACAAGTAGTTTTGACGTTTAGATTTTTCTGATAAAAATACTTATGGCCGGCAGTATATACGATCGTCAGAGACAATAATACTGATGGCACTGTAAATAAAATGAGAAATCCTCAGTGTAACTCGCTGCACGAAATCATCAAACAAACGACGAAAGTCTCTGGTCTTTAAAACTATGTGAAAAACTGATTCTTTACTGCTTGCTTGGCAATTTTCCTTCCACTCGAAATGCAACACAGAAGAATGTTTCAGAATGTTTTCTAAATGTAACAGAATCACTCGACGATACTGAAAAATCGTCACGGCGCAGTGAAGAAATAATAGAGAAGAAATTAAGTTTGAGCATAGAACCTCCATACTCGAAAAGAACGACGATATCACGATTAATCTCATTCGTAAATACACGCTCTGATCTCTTTACACGCACAAATATCAACTCCGGTTTCAGATTTTGAACCATGCCCAACGTACTTATCTGGACTATTGAAATATCTTTCTTTCTTTTTTTTAACAATAATCTATATCGTCAAGATTCTAACATCAATATTTTGCACAGAAATATTTTTCAAAGACTAAAGGAATAATTATAACAACAAGAGTGGAAAACGTGGGCCGTGAATGTTTCAATCGAGTCAATCATCTTTGACACAGCTCCGCTTTCGCAATATCATCGATCACTAGACTAGTTGATCATTTTCTCTCTCTCTCTCTCTATCAATTAATCTTCGATCACCGGAAGGTCAATGCTTAAAATTTGGCGTTTTGCCTTCGAAGATCGTTGGGAATGATGATAGTGAGGAACGAGCCAAACGCTAACGTGGCACAGAGGAAGATGTTTGCCCAAAAGTCGCCCCAGGCGCCCAACGTACAACCGTAGAGGATTGTGAAAACAATACCGAACACCTGGCACACTGCGTTTAGCAAGCCAGCGGACGTTCCTTCCGGTTCCGGATACGTCAGCTCCGCTGCAAACTCGAAGCCCACTGGAAGGTAACCGGTCATGAAGAATCTGCAAAGTTTATAAGATCGTCAGATGGAGAAAGTGAAATTTCCCCAGTGAAATTTCTCAAATTGTACAATATTTAAGAGTTTCATTTACCCTAACATGCCAGCTGTCACGTAAATAACATATATTTGACTGCTGTTTAGAGTGAACGTGAATATAATCATGCCGAGAAAGGAGAGAAGATACACGCCGAGCGTTGTCTCTCTGCGAACAAATTTCAAGTTGAAATATCGTGGAAGAGCATATTCTTCCGCTCCACGTGTCTGTATCATTTACTCACTTGAATTTGTGCGTTTTATCGAGAACGATGCCACACACCACAGAGCCCAACATTCCGGCGCAAACGATGGTCAAGCCGATCCTTCCAGCGTCTTTCTCGTGATTCTAAATATTTACAAACCAACGATAAAAATTATTATTTCCAATTTGAAGGGAAAAGTATGAAGCATCGAAGGACATGGAGAAAAAGATCTCCTCTAGAAAATATATATGTATTTATATTATAAGTATTATATAAAATTAAATTATATTATATTATATTAAATTACATTATAAATTAAATATAATTTAATTTATAAATATATTAAAATTAAAATTAAATATATTTATAAATTAAATTATATTACAAATATGATATGTATACATTTATAATAGATGAAGGAGACGGCTTACGGGGAAGTATTGAAGAACTATATGATTGAGAAGCGTGCTGATGGCGTAGAACACGCCCACGTTGATACCATAGCTGAGCAGCAGCAACAAGTAACCGACATTTGTGACCAGTTTCTTCACAGAAACGAAGAAGCTCTCTGTGGATTCGGCCTCCCTTTGCACGGCTTGCGCTGGACTCGGAGGAAGCGGTGGTTCAGACTTGAAGACTGAAAGAAGATATCGTTTCACTGCTACTTTCATCAACATGACAAAAGATGGTCTCGTTTAACGATGAAAGGATTTTTTAATATCAAGTTTACGGTTGTTGTAATATCAAGTTCACGTACAGAGAAGTATGAGGACCAGAATAATGGTGGTAAAAGCAGCGACGATGTAGAACATCACGTGCAATCCTTGGCCAATTATGTTGATATTTTCGCTGTTCTGCACCAGCATCGGTGGAAAGAGGAAACCAATCGCTATGCCCAACTGAAAACAACGCGGAACGTTATTCCTGTAACTTCTTACAAGTAATAATAACAATAATAATAATAAAAAAAAATGATCACCGCTTGTCAGAACAAAAAAAGTAAAAATCAATATGTTATAGAACATCGTATAGAACTGGAATTTTGTGGGACCTCTTTGAACGAGAGAAGAATGAATGTTATTTATAGTTACGAATATCATAAATTCACAGTGAAATTACCAGCGTATTGAGAGATGCTCGACGCCCGTTGTTGTTATTTCAAGGAAGTGACAGACCATTATTCTTTTCAGCCCATCACGAGCGATCCCGACGAGAGAGTTCTGCTCTCGAAAGCTTGCGAGAACCGTGGCAAAGCTTGTACAGATACGTGACACGTCACAGACGGCAAGGTCAATAATCATTTGTATCAATTTTACGATAGCTATCGCCTATTTCTTTATTAACTCCTACATGTCAAACAACATTCCAATAAATATTTCGTCATTCTCGAAAATTAAAAATTCTCTTGCTCTTTACAAAAATTATTTCTACACTTGAATAGAAATTTTCATCGAATGATCATCAATACGATTAATTACAGTGGGACGACATCTAAACGAGATAAATTGTCGAGTCTCTGAACGTTACAACTGGTACTTCACCTTTGACACTTTGAATCTTTTTTACATGTCATAAATAAAAATCACACCTACAGAGAAAGAAATCTGCAATGATAATAAACGTGTAAAGTAATAAATCCAATTCATTCTTTGAATATGACAACTGGTACTTTACTTTTGATATTTCGAATCTTTTTACATGTCATAAATAAAAAT